GGGAGCAAAATATCATTACAGCACTTTGCGGAACATAAGGCGCGGCTCGTTTTTTTCTATTTTCGACAGTTTTGACTAGAACAGCCGCTACAGGCTGAGTTTTGGTCGGATTTCCTTGGGAGTAGGCACGTTCAAATTGCATTGAAAATCCACAGAGGATGAAACACCGGCTTTTTTAATGTAACAATGTAATAGAATTTCTTCAGAAATATCATGGTTTTGACTAGGACAGCTGTAGCACAATGAATAATGGTCCGATAGAGCTAATTCTTGAATATGTTATGTATCTGGAATGTTACAAGAGGATGGCGCACTACTATAAGCAATATCCTGACCCAACGTGATTTTGCGCTCAGTTTATTGAGGGCAATATTCATGCCCCATGAGAAGCAGAGCCCTGGATTGGAACTGGAGTATACCCATATCTATAGACCTCGTGGTCCCCTAGAGAGAGTTTAGATACATGACATATCCAAAAACTAGGTCAATCGGAGCATTATTCATTGTGCTACAGCTGTCCTAGTTAAAACCATGATTTTTCTGAAGAAATTTTATTACGTAGTTATATCGAAAAAACCGGTATTTCATCCTCTGCAGATTTTCAATGCGATTTGAACGCGCCTACTCCCAAGGAAATCCGACCAAAACTCAGCCTGTGGCGGTTGTTCTAGTCAAAACTGTCGAAAATAGAAAAAAATGAGCCGCGCCTTATGTTCCGCAAAGTGCTGTAAAAAATCGCAAGCCCTCGAGGTATTCACTTACTGCACACAGTGTGTTCCTTCGCCCGAGTTGTATGGAAATACTTCAAATTTGTGAACGAACATGTTCTGGAATGCATATCGGCCTCCGAAATAAATTTGTGATTTGTAATAAGCTGGCCAGCGATCGCGCGATCGAGGTTATCAACAGACTACAACATGCAAGGTACAAGCATTATTGTTGTAGCATCTGTCTATGAGAGACTAACTACGTTTCAGCACCCCTGACGTATTTGGGTCCCATGGGTCCCCAGCGGCCAGAACCGAAAATTGGCCATAGTGGTTACAGGAAGCCAGCGTACGAGTCACGGAGCGAGTTTGATGCCTGTGGGGAGAAAGAATCCTATACATGACAAGTGGCCGCTCGGCCGCTTCGTGGCCTCACAGCCCCTTCCTGCCTGAGTAGTATGACTTGTGTGAATTTTGAATCAAAGAGACCTTGATATTCGTCAAGAGCGGAATTAAGAGAGACACCGCCAGATTTGAATGCGCAGACCGACCAAGCTGCGTGATCTGTCAAGCATGAGTGAGTTCCAAAGCTCTGGGGTAGATGAACCAAAACCGGACTTTAAAAGCTTCAGACGGGCTTAATTTTATAAAGAGACAAAGAGCACAGCTTTTCTGATAAGCCATGTGAAAAGTCACGAGGCGTTTCTCACGGTCTCTCCCGTCCGCGGGCAAACTCGGAATCCGCCGTGTGCGAGCGAGCTCTTTATCCACCGTGTGTGCAGCCCTCTCTGTGGCGAAGATACGGGTCCGATTAAACTTTATGTACATATGAATATAGATATGTTCTTAAATTTACTCAAATGAAGAGCCCCCAACAAGCTGTCGCCCGGCCCGTAAAGCTTGTTACCAATGATCTTGGTGATGTGTCCTTTCTGGAATCAGAGCATGCCTGGGCGCTTGTTTAAACCTGTTGGGAAATGGTCCCATGCTCAATGACATTGGAATGGATGGCCAAAGGAACCATCACTGGCAGATCCCTGTCTATGTTTTGTAGCAGATCTGCGCCAATCTACTGTTCATGATTCTCTCCCACCATCATGACGTGCTGGTCCTCCTCTCAGCGCCCCCCATGTGTGCTCTCAGTGCATTTCCTCTGGATGATGATATTGTGGCCCATATCATGACCTTTTGCTCCACCTTTGGCAGTCTTCATTCAGCTACTCTTGTCTGCCACACATTTCACCGTGTCTTCAGTGCGCACCCCAAGGCAGGTGGCTGTTTGCTTGGGTCAAGCCACTAATCTTTGTTTTGACCCAGTCCATAACATATGCCATAGCATATAATATTGTTGGACCTGCGCTACCCCAGGCCTTGCGGCTCTTACGGTATCCGTATCCAAACGATTAGGCCAGCACCGCTATAGACCCTATCATCCTTGCCACCAATTGCCCTGAAGAACATGATACTGGCAGTTTGATAACTGCAAAAGAAAAAATCCTCCTCCAGGTCGACTCTGAGTTGGTTGAGGCACTTGAGAATCTATATAGTTCAATGTGCGTCCCATTCTGGGGCCTTGGATGTGAACTGACCGTACTTAGGTTTAAGACCGGAATTCACAGACGAGCGTCTTGAATTGGGAGAAATCCCACCGCTTCCGCCGCTCAATGTATCGCATTATGCTGTACTGCGAGCTATTCAACGGCAGCCGCTGGAACCTGGATGAAAGTGACATCCTGGACGAGCAGATATTTAACCGCATTTGGAGCCAGCGCACTGCGGTCCTCGACACCTACCCGCTGGACGAGATTTTGGAAATCTATTCCTCTGTCCATTTCTCAGGGGCCTGATAGAGAAGCTAATGGGGAATGAGCTAATGCAAACCGAGAATGAAGGTGGGTCAACGTACTGTATTTTTCCCTTCAAATCGACAGGGGGTGTGATGCGTGACTGGATTTACCTATTCGACAATTCGACACCGGCCAAATTTTGGTTGCAACGCCACCCAACTTTTGACATTTCTCACGGAAATTCTCTCTTTTTGTGTCTTTCAGGCAATTTTGGGCTTGGTGTGACACCCAGGAGGTTCGACAGAGGCCCGCGTGATGCGTGACCACGAGCAAATTTCGTGATCGACAGGGGTGCGTGATGCGTGACTGTCGATTTGAAGGAAAAAATACAGTACCTCCACTGTTGGGCTCATCTGAGATCGTTCCTGTGGTAAGATGAGCTGGCGACAGAAGCTATTCAATGTCAACCTTTACAGTGTTTTGACCACTGTGCACTAATCTGGTTCCCTGGATCTCATCGGGTGTTCTGACAGTTTTCTTTTCCACCTGGTTGGATGGTTTGGGGATATAAAAAACTCGACACGTACGTCCATTGCAGAACCAGGCACATTCGAATCAGGCTCGGCACATTCAAATCAAAGTACCGGCTGTGATCCAAAGGCGGCACTTGCCATTTGGCAATATACTGTGGATCGGTTGACTCTGCCTTCGGATATCCCAGTAACTGGGATTGAACCAAATACTTCTTCCTTCCATGCTACAGCCATCTCCATCAATGCCCACTCACTAACCAAACCGCCCCTAGGCATCGGCGACATTGCACCGCAAAAAGCTGTGGAGGTCAGAAGGACTTGTAGGCGGAATAGGCAAAAGTGCGTCCACGCACTTGCAATGGCATTATTACTAAGAGGACAATGCCTGCAGCGCTTTCAAGCGCCCCCACTCTCCATCCATTTCGATGATATATTCCTATGTTGTACATAATTCTGTCTCATGGAGCCCAGTGGCAGCAAGTGCACGGTGAGTTTTCAGTAGCATAACATTTCACTTCAGACATTTCCTCTTCGCAGCGAACAAGCCGCGCACAACTACTTTCTAACATTTTCGACCTCCGACCTCCACAACACGCACTGCAATCCCTTGCCATCCTTATGATCACACGCAGGACTTGTGAGTCTCTGCACAATTTGAATACCACACACAACATTCCTAGGCTTTTTATTCACCGCTGCATGCGGTGTATTGTTTATTGAATCTTTTTTCTTATTAAATGAATCACGTAGAAGGATTGATAGCTTTATTCCAACCGGTTGCATCATTGTATAGCCTCAGTGGAGGTAGTGGAACCTGAACTCATTTTCAGCTGAGACCTTCAGGCACACAAGCCTTGTGCTTTTTCTTTATTTCTAGAGAGAGGGTTGTTAATTGATTGAACTCTTGGTATCTCACTTGGACACTGAGTCTGTCGACCCTGCGCACAAAAAAGAATTATGAGGCATGCAGATGCTAAGCCGGCGCAGTAAATCCCGGAAGCCGGTACCGTGAACCATTCCGAATGTGCCATGTTTGCGCACAGGCACGGCACATTCCCGGCACAATGTACGGATTTGCAGAAATGTGCTGCACATGCGGCGCAATGAGCCGTGTATGGAATGTACCTATGTGTCGAGTTTCAATGGTCCCGCTGAGTCAGTAATGACAGGGGCCATATCCTCCCTTATACTGTTGAGAAGTTGCCCTCATGCTGTCCGGCTTCTGGTTATGTCATCATTAAATCATAAAGAGAAGCATCTTCAAACACCTTTCGAACTTCAGGAAGTTCATCCTGAGCTTCAAGGGACAACTGACATGACTGACACATTTCTACAGGAGCTTTTTCTCAAGTTCCAATTAACAACACCTCCGCATGAGAGAGTTATAGTGGAGTGTAGTCCATTCCTCGGATTAATGAGAGCCGTAAAATTTTGCCTTTCAGAACTATACACCGAGCTTGGTATTTCTAGAATCCACGGTATTTTCAAGCCATGTACAGTGGATTTCACTTGAATATCATTCATGTCCAGTGGGTTTCAATGGACTTTCATTAGTGTTCAATGGGCACCAAAGTAGATTTAGTTCAACTGTGGTTGTAAGCATCAGCTTTACTAGATGAAATATAATTTGAAATACTGCCCAATTGACTAGACTAGTACATGAGATAGATCTATGGTGCAGTGGACATCGGTGTCCTCGAGGGAAAGTTAGGTTTCAGAAACGCTTCACGACCAACGACAGATCAAATGATGTCCATCAGAGCTGAAGCGGGACTGACGCGTCTTGCAGACTAGCTACCAGTCGTTTCAGTAAGCAAGAACCTCTTGATCACGAGAATGAGCTGAGGGATCAAAGAGGCTTCCTAAAACCCATGAAATGTGCAGCCACTGGCCACCGGCACTCGCAGGATTTTGATCCCATCACTGTGTACTGTACTATTTCATTCATTTCAGCAGGGGTTGTGACCCGTGACCGAAAAAACCCGGAATTGAACCAGGGACCTCTAGGTGATTGTGCCACCAGTAGTGCTCTTACCAACTGAGCTATTCTGCCAATAGTGTGAAAGGAACAAATCCATACTTCAACAACATGATCCCGTTGTTGTCATCGTTAGAAGCACCAGTTGCGAAAATTGTGAAGCCAGGAAGATCTACAATGTTGGTTGACAGTTAGTATTCAAGATGACATTCACTCACTACCACTTATGCCTTGGGAATGCGAACCATTTGAGTTTGCTACCTCTTCTTGAGTTTCAAGTTTGCGCAAGTGATCTACATGGGACATATCAGACGAGAATGGATATTTCTGGAAAAGATATTCACAAATCCAATCAGCAATCTGGCTTGTGTTTATTCTCTCCTTTGTGGTCTTTTCTATGTACACCTTGATCTTCTGGTTCTTTTTTGAATGCCCATGAAACAAGGGGTAAGCTAGGGAAGATGGCATATTAGTGTATGTACTTTCACAACACCATGACTTGCCGGTGACAAGAGCACTTTGTAGGTTGAGGAAATGGTGAACACTAGGAGGCATGTGAGAGTGGGAAAAAAAAAGGTAGAGGGGGAGTGGGAACTTGCAGGGTGCATTTTATCATGTCTGCCCTGGGGTACAATCACCACCGAACATCTTCGAAGAAGACCAACTACACAACCATTGGTGCCTTCATGGTACTGTATACTATATAGTCTCTTGAGCAGCAAAATTGATATTATCATACTTTGTTTTGGTTTGTGCTTTTTTCTTTCCAAGCCAAAAGGGTTTTTATCCACCATGTATGTCCCATTCTGCAGTTGTACGTAAATACTCACTGTGTTCTGAGGGCTTGCAGGCACAGCCTGCCTAACTGGGTTCAGGTGGGTCTAGGTCAGCTGATCATGCCAAATGCCGCTAGGCACAGTCGGCCCATCAAGACTCTGCCTAACTGTGTCGACCAGTCTGTCCACGTCTGTCAACATCCCCTCCATCTCTCTATATAATCAATGGACGAAACTCATACTCATTCCTCTCCTCATTGAGGCTTGTTTCATTCAGTGCCTCATATGCGGTCTATATTTGTATCCAATCATTTTAGCTCGGAAAATGATGCCACTAATTTCTAGAGACTTCTCCCGTCGACCCTGGGCCATGAATGGAGGCAGCGGTGACTCTGCGGCTCTCCCACCCTCCTCTTTCTTCCTCTCCTCTAATGCTCGTCTTGGCTTTCCTCATGAACTACCAACTTTGCGGGCAATTCTACTGGCTGGAATCAGACTCTCAATCCATACAGTGAAGGAGCACCACATGGCGACCCGTATGCTCGTTCATCAGAGCTAGAAACATTGCGAGCACTGCCTCGCATCAATCATCCCACCTGCTGCCTGCCATTATCACCTCAGACTTCTCACAGAATGTCGAACACAGCTATTCTGGCTTCTACTGAACTCTCAGCTGCAGAAGACTGGCCAATGTTCCGAGTTAATGCTCAAATGGAGCTGCACCGAGAGGGCGTGTTCACTTTGCTGGAACCTGTAATTCAGGCTGCTACTGTGGTTGATGCTCACTGCTGCTGCTGTTGCTACTCCTGTCCCTGGTGCTACTCCCACAACTGCCCCCCACTATTGCTGCTCCCACTACTGCTATAGCATTTAAAGACACACCTGCAGAGCGTAACAGTTGTGCTTTGGGAATCATTAATCCCTAGGGAAGCCGACAAAAGTTTCATGGGTGAGACCACCTTCTCAAGCCTGTTGATACAGGGGAGTTCCGCTTATTTACATCTCAAATGCTCAAGTCGCTTGGAGATATTACTTCCGCTGCTCAGTCTGGGTTTTGCATAGCCACAGGTACAATGGCCGACATTAGAGGCGCATCGGTTCAGTTCCCTTCCAGTTCCCAACGTCAACCCGCTTCTTCCTCGTACGTTGTCAGTTTATTTCATCACGGAACTTGACCAATGGATGACCAGTGGCGTTAATCTGAACACCGCTATTCCCCACATCGAGACCGCTGTCACGCCTGCTAAAAAGTCAAGATTATTCCTGGGGTATACATTCTGGACTTGACAAAAAATGAGTTCACGTGGAAAGAAGCTGTGCACCAGTAGCCCGCAGCGTTTTCTCTCAAAAACGAAAAAAACGGCCGCGCCTAAGTTCCGCAAATGGCTGTAATTTTACATGCAGTACGCTGTGGTTAAAATACGGCGCAGAGCGGACAATATTTCTGAACCCAATTTCGCCGGTCGTAGGGCATGACGAGCAGAGAAGCTCTGGCGTCGAACCACTGATCTATCAGGTCAGTGACTGATGTTAGCCCGATGTGACAGTGGAGGTGACGGGGTGCGGCGCCAGGGACTAGGACAAGGGGTCGTCGACATGATGGAGGAACGAAAGAGGAAATTGAAATTACAATCGGTGAAAATTTCCTTTATCTCTTGTTACCAACGACAACATGGCGGATGCGCCAGCGAGCTCTTCGCCCCTTGTAGCGCTGCGAGCTACTATCCGACGTCGAAATGTGGTCTATTCGTCCCCAATACCTCCGTCAGATCCAATGAGCGAGCCCGAGGGGGAAGATATGCCCACCTTGAATGATATTGCGGATTGGAGGTGGAAGAAGACGACGAAGAATATCTCCCAGCCCTGCTGGCGGTTCCTGAGGAGGAGCTCACAGATGGCGAAGAAGATTCTGACTCGGAGGACGACCTCTCCGCAACAAAGCCATTCAAACGCGATTCGTCCCCGCTTTCGGAGGTGCCTTCAGCAATGAACACCCCCATCACGAGAAATGTGCTCACCATGGATTCGTTGTCGCTGTCCGCCGCACCATCAACAGCACCGCAGACCCCTACAATGATTCTTGGCAATTCATTGCTTTCGTCGAGTCCAATGTATACACCGCGTGCGGAGAGCAAGTTCCTGACGGAAAGGGCAACCTGGAGACTGTGCGGAACCTCAGAGAAATGGCGGCCGCCGAGAAGGCACTTGAGGATGCGGCAAAAGCACGGCAGCTAGAGGACGACGCGGAGAAGATGAAGATATATTTTGACGAGATGCTGGGCGGTCTTGAACAGCGGGGATATAGTCTTGCAGACTTCATGGAGTATGTCTTCAAACCCGTGACGCGGTTCGAGAGCGGATATGATTGGCGATGGCGTGGCTTCTTCGCGCACAAGCCTACGGTGAAGCAGCTCCTCAATTATTGGAGCTCGACTCGGGCGCACACTACACGCACCTTCATTTGGGATTGGGCGTATCAGCTTGTGCGGAAGGTTGTAGCTCGAGAGGCACGGCACATCACAAGCTCTGGTATGCTCAGCAAGATGAAGAAGACAGTCAACGAGGACTTTTTCCTCAAGTTCAGTCTACTCGGGATCAGCGCGAGCCTGCGCTCGCTCTCGCCGACCGCATTTGACGCATATTCCTCGACCAAACGCCAGGTGAAGACTCAATTGAACGGGTTCCTGAAGAGACGCGAGGGTGGTGAGTATTCAATTTAACTACTAGGAATGCGAAGTTCTTACTGTCCCAACGTTATCGGGCTCGGTCGCCCTCGCGCTGCTCAACGGTCGGAGTCAGAACAACTCGTTTACGCAGGCTGTATGCGGTACATACCCGATGGCCACTGGCGCCCAATGGCAGCACTTTAGTGTCCTCCACGGCATCGGATTTTCGATGGGTTATTCGAGTATCATCGGCCAGGGGACACAATTCAAGTCGGCTACGCCCGAATTGACAACCGTAAGCTCATGAATGCAAAGAGTCAACTCATAACTCACGAATCAGCCCAGGCTGACACGCTGAACGACATTGATGGCGTGGAACCCGGCCGACACGCCAGGAAGAACAAAAAAAAACCGCGAGGCAAAGAAAGCCAAGAAGAAGAGGGTCCGCGCTCCTGGGACCCTCTGGCAGCTCTCGCAAGCATGCAGGGCCACAGCGCACGCGCTTGCCTCGACCGGATTATTCCTGGTGATGTACGACAACATTAATATGATGGTCCGCGTTGCGGAGCAAATTCTGGGGAGGAAGAGTAAGTTCACGGTCCCACAAAATCGGAAGGAAACAGAGACTGACATGTGGGCAGTAAAATGGGACCTGCGCTACCGAGGTCGCGTTGCACAATGCGAAGCTTGAAGATCTCTTGACAACCGATCTCGACAAGGGAATCGCGAACGCGCCCCCGCTGACCGTGGAAAACCTCGAGTTCACGGAGGAAGAGGCCGAGTTCTTTCGCCAGAACATGGTCCACACGATCTTGCGCATCATCATTCGTTATGGCGGCGAGGATTTTTCCCAATTCAAGGAAGACCTCGACAATGCCCAGCCTGTCAGCACCGATAAAATCACAGTTCACCAGTCCTTCATTCACCCGCTTCCAGCCATGGAAATAGACGAGAATTCGACGAAGGGGAACATCGAGGTCATGGAGCCAATAAACAAAGAGCTCGTTTGGACATGAATGACCCCAACTACGTCAAATACGTCAAAATTCTTGCTGGTGATCAGCTCACCATTGCTCGTCAACGCTCTATCCTCCAGGTACGACTCGGACACGAGCAGGGGGCTCAGTCATGGAAACATATCGTGCTCATGCCGGGCCTCTTCCACGCGAAGATTGCAGACTGCCATGGCGTTCTTCAAACCCACTTCGGCAAGCCCAGCGCAGGATTCAGGAGCCCAGGCAGTCTCGGTTTCCACAACACCGTCCTTGACCGCCTCCCTATCACCCTTACCTCCCTGCCCCCCTTCCGAACATGCCGCGACTTCACTGCGTTGAGACCCCCCGTAGACCAAGGGTCAGTCTACCCGGGTAGACAGAGGGTAGACTGACCTGTCTGTCTACCCAAATCGATGTTGGGTACACGCACCTGTTTAACCTGAGTCTACCGTCTACCCTGTAGATGGAGGTAGACGGACCCAGGCCGAGGTAGACCAAGATAGACAGAGGCCGGGTTTTTCCAAAGAGCTTTCAACCCAGGTCGACGAGAAGTTTACAGTGAACTGTGAACTGTAAGCGAGTTGCCATGACTATTGAAGAGGGAAATCGAGTGATATTTTGATCTGATTGCCACCGCT